ATATTTCTCATGCCCACATGCTACATTTTCTAAACCGATTTTGCTGATAAACTTGAAAAGTTGAAAAGTAAAAAAAAACTTCAAGATGTTTTTAATAAGCGGAACAAAAAAGGACAAAAAAAAAAAGAAAAAGATGGAAAAAAATGAGCATCAACAACATTACGTAACTTTAAAGTTTCGCCAATTTAAGTACTTAAATTAAAGCGAAAAAAATCTTCCTTAACACCTGTTTTGAAAAATTTTTCACGTACTGTTTCTTCAGTTGTTACAACAAAACTGTTCCACTATAAAATTAAGAAGAAAAACAAAAAAGAAAAACGAAAAAACAAATTAACTGAAGTAAGAGGCAAAAACTAGTAAATGTAAACGGAGAAAAAAAGCAACTAAAATCGATGAAATACAGGATCAAAATGTGTCACAACGAAAAAAGCGTAAAAGAAAAAACAAAATGCATTTGCTAGTTCAAATGTCCTTTAAGTTGCGTGAGCATATATAATATTGCATATTACATAGACCACCGCAGACAAACATCACTCACCTTCCTCCTCTCTCCGTTTCCCCCTTTTTACCATTACTATTTCATTGCACATACAGCAAACTTTTGCTCTATAATAAGCCAAAATGTACTTTTTTCTTGCCTCTGTCAAAAAAAAAAAAAAAAAAACGAAAAGTGTTCAGTCTTCCTTTTATAGTCCATCATTAAGCGAGAACTGATGAAGTGACGACAAGCAGACCAATTGTCCGTCACGAACAAAGCAAAAATTAACAACAACACCAACAGCAGGTCAACATATTTAACTGTTAGCAAATTTTTAACAACAAACCATAAGCAGCCAAAACAGTTGATCAAAAAAAAAAAAAAAGAACAATACCAGCAACAACTTTCGCCTTGTTTGACCTTTATGCAGCAAACAGCGACAAACGACAACAACAGCGGCAACTGCAATGACAGCATCGGAAACAGCACTTTCTTTTTTTTTTCCACTACCAAAAACCCAAACTTCCGCCGCTGTCAATCCTTAGTTTCAGTCGAGTTATATTTCAATTTCAAAATATCACTAATAACAGAAGAAAACTGCAGAGGAATTTAATAGGTTTTTTTTTTTTTGCCAATCATTCAGGTCAACGAAAGTGCGGAAAAAAACCTCTTGATAAATTTAAAAAAAAAAAAAAGCAGGCTAAAATGTGGTTTAAAATTAAACAAAGATCATTTATCGACTCTTAAAAAAGTGCAAAAAAATAAAAAGTAAAAAAAGCTCTCGAAAAAAAAAAATACTTTGAAAAGAGACAAAAAAAAAAGAAAGAATAACAACATCTTTTTTAAAAGACATATTTGAATAACCATATATACACTGACGAATTTAAATAAATTTTTAAACCAGCATCAAAATTAACATTGTCATAAAACCATAAGTGACAAGAAGAAAAAAGTAAAAAATAAGCAAAATGAAACAAAACAAGCAAAAAATGTAAAGCATTTTTCAAAATAAAAAAAAAAAAAGAAATTTGTAATAATAAACTGCAGTGAAACCTTCTTCTTCTTCGATTTTCAAAAGCATTATCTGCCAAGATTTAATTCATCAAAAACAACGTTTAAAAACAAACAAACGCTTTCA